TTGTCAGAGCATTTAAAGGCCCAGAACCAGTCTAATAAAATCCACTATGCTCAAATAACATACAGTTCAAATACAGGCAATAATCAATGCAAAAGTCTCTTGTGGCTGCTTCTGCCACAGTCTACATATCTGGAGCCTTCCATAAACAGGGTGAAGTCAGGGTCTGGCAAAGCAGTTTCATGTACTGTGGGAAGATGTGTTGTCTCCATCTTCATCTGTTCAAAGCAGTCATGAGGAGCGTCTGGATATTGATCCATAGAAGGGGCATCTTCACATATTTCTGTGTGGTATGGAGGGTAACCAGTTGTCTTGCAGTTCGCTTGGTGACACCTTCTGCGTTAAGCTGGTCTTGGTCTGCAGTGCATGTTTTAGCCAATGGGCCAAGATCCTTCCACGAGATTTCTGGAGATTTGGTGAAGGAAACATGAGGAACAGCCACCTCCCAGTGATGGTACATATGTTGTACTTCCAGAGGTAGGCGGATCAGGGCCACACAATTGCCCTTAGAATCACAAAACAGGTCTGTCTGACAAGGCATACTTCTACCAGCTTGAACAGCTCTTCTTCGTAGTGTGGATCTGGTCCTGGGGTATTTCTGAACCACAGGGTACAATGCAGGAAAGGCTGTGGCTGTTCATCATATAGAACTGTGGGTTTCCATATCTGTAGTTCAAAAAGGGTGTCAGGATCTATATCAAGGTTGTACCAATAGTGTGGTATTCCCCCCCTGGGAAGTGGCAGAAGAGTGGCTGGGTTGAGAGAGTAACACCTTTGCAGAGTGATGTCAGGCAGAAGTAGAGCTGTCTGCAGGCGGAGATGTCTTTGAGAAGTGAGCTGTTTTGGTTGGACTTGATTGAGAATAGCTGTGATATCATGAGGTGCAAGAATGGTAAGCTTGTGACCAAGAATTAGGTAATTTGTCTTGTCCAGGAGAGCACTGGCTGCAAAGACTGCTCGGAGACAGGAGGCTCTTCCTCTGGCCACTGGGTCCAGCTGGCATGAGTAGTAGCCAATAGGACGTTGGCGGGAGCCATGAGACTGTGTGAGAACACCAGATGCATGTCCCATTCTTTCTGAGACAAAGAGCTTGAAAGGCTTCTAGTAATTAGGCAGGCCCAATGCAGGGGCAGAGGCAATGGTACGTTGCAAAGCATAGAAGCTGGCGAGAGCCTCAGGAGAGAGAGAAAGGTTCAGTCTTGAGGGCATCATAGAGAGGCTGCATGAGGGTGGAGGCCTCAGGTATCCAGGCTCTGCAGTAAGAGATGAGGCCCAGAAAGGCATGAAGGGGCTTGTGAGCTGTTGGAGAACAGATGGATGTGATTCCTCGTACTCTGTCCCGGGTGAGATGCCGGGTGCCATGGGAAAGGCAATGTCCCAAGAAGACCACAGAGGGCCAGCACCATTGTAGCTTCTTTTTTAGGCCTTGTAGCCTTGTTCAGCCAGGAAGCAGAGTAGTGCGCTCAGCAGTTGGAAGGTCATCTGCACAGAGAAGAAGGTCATCTACATATTGAAGAAGAGCCACATCAGTGTGAGACTTCTGCCATGGTTCTAGAATGATTGACATGGCTTTTGCAAACTGACTAGGCGAATTCTGTGCTCCTTGAGGCATGACAGTCCAGGTATATTGCTGGTGGTCATGGGTGAATGCAAAAAGGTACTGACATGAGGGATCCAAAGGTACACTGAAGAAGGCATTTGCCAGGTCTATCACAGTGAAGAACTTTGCTGTAGGAGGTACCTGTGATAGAAAAGTGTGAGGATTGGGTACGATGGAGGTATCCAGAACAGTGACGTCATTGACAGCGCGAAGATCTTGAACCATCCGGTACTGGTCAGGCTCACCCTTTTCAGTTTTCTTCTTTACTGGAAACAAAGGAGTGTTACATGGAGATTCACATTTAATAAGAGAACCTTTTGCTAATAGGCTTTCAACCTGTTTGGAGATGGCGAGGGCCTGAGCAGGCTTCAGGGAGTACTGTGGCCTTCAGGGTGGGTTAGCACCATCAAACAACTTTACAACCACTGGAGGAACTTGAAGACATCCAATATCATCCGGCCAGTGGACCATAGTTTAGCTGGGACCCTATCCAGGGCACTGGGGGGGGGTCTAGGACCCTTTCATCCTCACGGGGAGACTCCATGTGGAGCAGGAGAGGCAAAGAACAGAGTTTTGAGGTTACACGATAACAAGGTTCTGCAGCTTTAGTTAACCCATTATCGTGCAACAAACAGAGCAGTAGCAGCTGGAGAGAGAGAGAGAGACCACTGCAGGGATGGAAGTTAACCCTGTAAGTACTTTAAAGTAACAAGACGGACAGAGACTTGCACATTACATGTATTGCAAGCAAAGAGACATACACATGAGGAGGTTCAAAATACAGATACAATCAACCCACAAATCCTTTACAATAAATGCAAACAAAACACAAAACACTAAAAATAATTGCCGGCTAACAATAAAAAAAATTTTTTTTGCTGCGCAATCACTACACTACAGCTAATTCTAGCAATAAAGTCTACATAACCCCGTCCCCACTGGACAATAATACAAAACTAAAAATGCAATAAATCCCTGTTCCCACCGAACAGTAACACTAGCAAAAATAAAAATGCAATAAATCCCTGTTCCATCCGAACAGTAACACTAACAGTAATAAAAATACAATAAATCCCTGTTCCCGCCGAACAGTAACACTAACAATAATAAAAACACAGTAAATCCCTGTTCCCGACGAACAGTAACACTAACAATAATAAAAACAAAGTAAATCCCTGTTCCCGCCGAACAGTAACACTAACAATAATAAAAACACAGTAAATCCCTGTTCCCACTGAATAGTAACACTAACAATAATAAAAACACAATAAATCCCTCTAGGCTCTCTCCCCCTAGGCAAAATACATTCACACCCAGGAGGCAGATAGTCAATTTACAGGTTCTTATAAAGAGACTCCGGGCAAGCTATTTACCTGTCTTTGGTGTCCTCTGGCAGCCGGCATGGGGACGAAGCCAAGCTAATCACAGGGATAGGAGATATAGGCAAAGTGCTAAAAAGCGATCATTACCATATATGCAGAGGTGCTCAATCTCTGTCCCGTCTCTGGTGGTCTGTTCTCTGGTCCTCTAGAGGATGGCTGTCTGTTGGACACAGCCGCGGAGCCCCACGTTTGGCGCCAAATTTGTTGTAGACCAAACCAAGTGTTTGATAGTTTGAATATCTGCCCCTGTCCAAAATTATTAATATTTAATGCATGCTTACTCCTAGAGTAATTCACACCAGACACAAGTTTCAGGTTGATGAAAAATTTCAGGAATGTTGTTTCAGGGGGCGGGAGGCCCCTTATAAAGAAAAAATACATCATATCCATAATTATAGATAACAGAGAAAATACATTAATAATTGGTTAGGTGTTAAGTGGTTTTATCTAATGCCATCCTACAGGGTGGGATGTCACTGTCATCATGGGATTCTCCTCCAGATTCCAGCGCCATTTTGTTACATGAGGTGGGTAGCTGATGGGAGGGGGAGCTTCTAGTAGCCATTTTGAGTAAACATTGAATAATACTGATTATAGTTATGCAGAGTAAATAGGTATTTCACTAATTCTAATATTATGCCCATAACAACACACACACACACACTGACTGCCAGATACAACCTCTCTCACACACACTGCCAGAGAGATACAAACACACACACAATGTCCGAGAGATACAACTGCTTCTCACACACACACTGCCAGAGAGATACAAACACACACACAATGTCCGAGAGGTACAGCTGCTTCTCACACACACACTGCCAGAGAGATACAAACACACACATAGTGTCCGAGAGATACAGCTGCTTCTCACACACACACACACTGCCAGAGAGATACAGTGTAACGGAGCTCCCTGTACCTCAACTGGGTACCTCCGCCAAGGACCGCTTATTAGCTGGAACAGGGGACAAACCGCAGCACTTCTGCCCACAGTCGCTGTGGCTTGACTGGGGCCCTGGAATCGCTCCTTCCTGGAGCCGAATGGGGAAATAGCTCTAGACAACCCCAGGCTCTGGATGACACTCAGTCCTGGGAGCTCTAGTCCTTACAAGGACTTTCCCTGTTGAATCCCCTGCAAGCTGGAACAGCAGACACAGGAGTAAATCTTCTTTCCCTCCAATAACAGGACGACACATAGTTTTGGAGTGTAAGCTGGAATAGGATTTTAATGGAGGCACACTGGCCTTTTATGCAAGTTTCCCAACAATGGTGACACCCAGGTGGACCTTGTTGGGCACAGGGACACAAAGTGAATAAACCAATAAAAGCAGAGTCATACAGTAAGACACTCCCATACACAAACAATAGAATCCCTCTTCTGTGCTTCGGAGATAATTTAATCAGGAACTGTACTAATCTAAACCAATTATCTCCAAGCACAGAAGAACATACAATTTTATGAAATCCCCAAAAGTTCCTTAAAAACACATAAAACCCAATAAAAGTTACATCCCTTGATAGCCTTGATCTGATTAAACACATATCTAAAATCTAAAAAATCACCCATATCGGTTCTGGGTTCAGGAATTTCCTGGAAGTCATAGTTTTGACCGACCGTGCACATGGTCTTATGCCCAAAACAGTTCCAGGGAAATCAGTGCTAACAGTTGGTCAAGTTTGGTAGTCTTTTACAGGTTTCCCTGCAGGGCCCATAGTCTGTGGGCAGGAGGCTGGCAAGCAGGCTTCTCCAGGCGCTCATGGCAAACTCTGGTAAAAAGGGTTTGCCACATACAGCATCTTTCACATACATATATAAATATATATGGGAGGCTGAAATTGGTGTCTGATTCGGCGTCAGCTCCAGTTTTAATTTAAATGAAACATGTCTCAGTGCAATACAACCCAAATTTAAATAATGGCAACATAAAGGGCGGAACTCCAAAAATACAATAATGTAACCTTTTTGGTATTTTAATGTTTTGGACAGTAAACAATGGTTAATTATCGTTGGGCCACTGACTCTCACATGGATTTACACAGAGTAGAGAGAGTGCTTTCTATGAAATATAGTTGGTTTTAAGCAATTTGGACATGGAAAACAGTGCCAACCCTGCCATGATTGCTGATTTTCTTTCTTTTTGAATGGGTGAACATAGAATTTGACAGCAGATAAGACCCATTCGAACTATCTAGTCTGCCCAATTTTCTAAATACTTTTATTAGTTCCTGACATTATCTTATCTTAGCCTCATGCCTATCCCACGAATGCTTAAACTCCTTCACTGTGTTAACCTCTACCACTTCAGCTGGGAGGCTATTCCATGCGTCCACTACCCTCTCTGTAAAGTAATACTTCCTGAACTTATTTTAAAACCTTTGCCCCTTTAATTTAAGACTAAGTCCTCTTGCTGTGGTAGTTTTCTTTTTTTAAATATAGTCTCCTCCTTTACTGTGTTGATTCCCTTTATGTATTTAAATGTTTTTATCATATACCCCCTGTCTCGTCTTTCCTCTAAGCTATACATGTTAAGTTCCTTTAACGTTTCCTTTGTAAGTTTTATCCTGCAATCCATGAACCAGTTTAGTAGCCCTTCTCTAAACTCTCTTTAAAGAATCAATATTCTTCTGAAGATATGGTCTCCAGTACTGCGTACAATACTCCAAGTGAGGTCTCACCAGTGTTCTGTACAGTGGCATGAGCACTTCCCTCTTTCTACTGCTAATACCTCTCCCTATACACCCAAGAATTCTGTTAGCATTCCCTGCTGCTCTATTACATTGTCTGTCTAGCTTTAGGTCATCTGAAAGAGTTAAAATGTATTTAGTGGTCTTTCACAAGGCTCAATCCAGTTATTTATAAACAAAATATCTTACCAAGAATGATACATTGAGATTTCCCTAATTTTTAAGGATGTCCTGAGCGGACAAACATTGCATTGCTACAATAGAGTACAGTATAATATGAAAAATACAAAGTAATATTAAAATACACAGTATAATATTTAAAATACTACGTAATATTAAAATATACATATAATTTAGCATAGAACAAATGATTACAGGTGCATTCCGTACTGAGATATGTTGACAGGAATCTCTTAAAGGATTTTAGCGTGGAGGAAGATTTTATTGTGTCCGGGAGGTAGTGTCATACTTACAGTGCTTTGAAAGAAAATGAGAATCGAGCTACTTTCTTTTTGTAGCGTAGTATATTAAATAAAGATTTGTACTGGATTTGAGATTATAGGTGCGTCGAATGGCCGGGGAGAGCATTCTGACCGGTTTATTTTTAAGTAAGCTTTGTAAATAAGGAAAGAAAAACATGCAGTCTGTCACATACTCCTGAAGGTTCTAGTAATAAAAAAGTCAAACCCCTAAATATTTTTCTGTAATATGATTATGTACACCACTTATTGCTTAATTATGCACACCTCTAAAAGTCTTGAATCTTCTGTAACAAGCCTATATAAACCCTTGCTTTGTTCTACAAACTGGAGTACTTCATGTCTTCCAGAGTTTTTTGCTCTCCAAATACTTGAGTGAAGATTCTTGTGGACAGAAGTAGAAGTACATGGCAATAGGGAGACGTGAACTTGGGGGCTCGCCCAGGATGGATCACGTCAAGCAGTGAGCACTTTTATCCCTTTTAATTCTGGTCTCCTGCTTGGGATGAGTCCATCTCGAACCTTATAGAGTTGGAACACGGACGATGGTACCCTTCATGTTTTGGGTGGTAGGGTCACCGGGGGTGAAATTCTTGTTAAAAATCCCATATTGAGTTGAAATGCACAGGGCGGCGGTTCCCTTTGAGTTTTGGGTGGTGGTACATTTGCTTGAACTGTAGAATCTGTTATTTCATATTGTGACAAAGTGCATGATGTGGTCTGTGAAGTAGTCTACATTTCCTCTAGATTTCTAGAGAGGCATATGACATTTAACCCCAGGGGGAGCACGTGTTGTATGTGTTGTGGATCCAAATAATGATCTTTGTTATATTCAGAGAAAGCCCAAATTATTATTACAAGTGCACTTGGAGAAGCGAGAATTAGACACCAGACACCTGTTGGTATTCAAAATAAGCCTCTGCTGTTTTATTCATCAGCTGTGTTTTATACATTAAAAAGTAAGTGCTTACGTGCAAATACTCGTAGAACAGTAATAGGAAGGGAGTACAGATAAGACATAGAGATGAACATCATGTACACATAACAAATAAGTTCCAAGGTAATAAAGAACAAAAATATTAGAGAAGAGACATCTCAGGTGGGGGCTCTCTGCTCCCAGAACTAGACATATATATGGTCTTAAGTGTTGTGTTAAGCATCAAGCATTTCCTGAGTCCAAGTTAGCCAATTTTAATATAGGATATCATTATATGACACCTATAAGCTTGAGCCTTGGAACCAAGATAAATTCTATTACATATGCAACATAAATTAATATTTAGATGTGAGCCCCTGAGGTGGAGCATTTAGAGAGTAGGGCCGGCCAGTGCTCCACTCCTCAGTTTACAGACAACTGGAAGACATAAGGTCCAGATCAGGAGTTCAGATTGGCTCCAACACATTTCTCAGCTGCAGTAAAGGAAATAAATGTTTGCCTTTTAGTCAGGTAAGAGATACTTTTGTTCTTCCTTTGATGGCTGGAAGCAGCAGGCTGGCATTAAGTAATGCTTGTGACTGTGCAGTAGAGTGCAGAAAATAAAATAAAAAAAAGCTCAGGCGAGTTAGGCTTTTGTTTATAGGGATTTCTGTTATATTATTTCTGAAGTGAATTTAAAAAAAGTGCCTGAAGGATGAACTGGATCACAGCTGACCTCATCCAAATGTACCAGTTTCGGGATTCTTTGTGGTCAAAGTTAAAGCATACTGGCTCTATGAATGATCACTGTGCATATAGACAATGGCGAAATATATGCACAAAACAGACAAAATTGGCCAAGGCCCAATATTTCTATGAAAATCTGAACAATAACATCTCAAACCCTAGAAACTTTTGGAAAGTCATAAATAAACTACAAACTCCCCCAATCCACTCCCCCAATGTTAGACCCCAATCTATCTTTTGGCCTGCACATAGAAAAGCTTGCATCTAAACTTTATCCAAAACTAGGTGCCCTGTACAGAAACAAATCCTGCCTAAGCCCTACAGTAAAGGAAAAGATTGTACAGCAAATGCTGATGCCAATCATTGATTATGGGGATGTAGTATATGCATCTGCATCGCAAACCCACCTTAATAAACGCAATACATTGTATAACTCATTCTGCCGATTTGTGCTACAATGTAATTACAGGACTCACCATTGTGACATGCTAAAAGAACTAAACTGGCTGTCGCTGGAATCAGACGCACCCCTCATCTTTCCAGTCTTGTGTTTAAGAGCTTTTCTGGGAAACTCTCACTCTACCTGAGCAAAATGCTTTCCCCAGCTGTTCCCACTTCCTATAACCTCCGATCCAGTACCAGCACTTTATTTAGTCTACCTCAATACAAAAAGAAAGCGGCCCGATCCTCCTTCTCCTACAGAGCACCGCAATTGTGGAACTATCTTCCCCAGGCCTAAAGTCCTTTAAGAGATACCTCTCTACATACCTCAAGACAGAATGCACCTGTCATGGTTGATTATATATTTCCTACCTGTTCTATGTTACATTTTTTATTTATTGTGTATTAATATTGTTTTTGTAGTTTATCGCACCCTAATGTAACAATGCAATGATTTGTGGACCCAGGACATACTTGAAAATTAGAGAAATCTCAATGTATCTTTCCTGGTAAAATATCTTATAAATAAATAATTCAAAAGACTGTGCCTATATTTACACTAGAGGACTGTGCTATTTGCAAATACAGGATCACAATATAAATACAATCTGTAAGTGAAACTATGAATGTGTCATATGTGTTCTTTGTACCCATTGTTTGAGCAGAATGAATGTAGATATGTCTGGAATTTGCAAGTAGACGTGGATTGATTCTCTCCTTGGATTTTTAATTAAGAATTCACTTAAGAATTCACTGAGTCAAGGAAGTTTGAAACCCGAGTCCCATATTGTATGTGAAGAGCGGAGGTGAAAGCAGGGATGTATTTACCCCAAGGCAAACAAGGCATTTGCCTAGGGCGGCACTTCCAGGGGGGGCGCCAAAAAAAAACGCCACCCCAAGCTCCCATACAAATGCCTTGTTTGCCTCATGTTCTGGGGCTGTCCACCTTATGGTGAGTGAGTGTAGCTGTCAGTGTGTGTCTGTGAGTGAGTGAAAGTGTGTTTCTTTCAGTGAGAATGGGTGTGCCTGTGAGTGTGTTTCAGTGTGTGTATGTCATTTTATGTGTATCTGAGAGTGTGTGCCTGTCAGTGTGTGTCTGTCAGTGAAAGTGTGTGTTGGTTAAAAAGTGTGTGCCAATGACTGTGTATCTGTCAGTGAGTGTATATCAGTGCATGTATCAATGAGGCCATGTGTCTGTCAGTCAAAAAAGTGGCCTTGACACGAATTGGGGAGACAAATTTAGATTTTGGGGGTGCCCGAATTTAGTCGTGCCTAGGGCAGCACAAATCCAAAATACAACACTGGGTGAAAGTATTTGAGGGATTATAAAGAATGGAGTTGCTTCAGATCAGAACAGAACTTACAAACCACGCAAACCTCATCCCAATACCCTGCTGTTTATCCTCATCTACCAACATTCAGTGTACACTCTGGAACGTCCACTCTATCTGCAGCAATATGACATCAACAGCCTTACAAAACCTCTTCATCTCAAATTATCTCACACTACTTGCATTCACAGAGACCTGGCTGTCCCCCTCTGATAGCCCTGCTCCTGCTTCCTTATGTTTTGCTGGGCTACAATTCTCCTAAACTCTACTGTAAAGGAGGCGGTGTAGGAAACTTTCTTTGCTCTCAATGTACCTTACAACCAATCTTCCCTGCCCTTTCTTTTCCTTCCATTGAAGTTCACACTGTCTGCCTTTTTAAACCCTCCCCTCTAAGAATTGCAATCATTTATAACCTTGGCACACCAATCTGACCCGATAACTCCAGACCTGCTGAACACTGCTGGAGAAAGTCTCAGTCTATGCCTGACTTCTTCTATAAACTTATGCTGCGCTCCTACAGTTTGGCTCTTTTCTCTGCAAAAGTAAATTACTTCAATAACCGCATAACCATGCTCTCCCGGGAACCCATATGCCTATTTCACACTTTTAACTCTGTTCTTTGCCCTGTTGT